TGACTGGAATGAATGTTTCTCCTTGTGCTTTTTATAAATCGAAAGTTTGTTTCTTATTTGCTGATAACTACTTCTAAGTTATTTCAGATTGACCCAGGTAAACTCCTCCAGAATATCAACTTACATATCTGGTTAAGACTTTTAAGTCACCTGGCACTTAAGGCTGATGAGCAAGACACTCCCCGCAAAGAAAAAGATCCCAAGCACTTTGCCTTGCACCTGTTTTCATCCCAGCATCACTTAAAAGTGTTTAAGAACAGAGTAGTGCATTCTCTGTTCCCTGTTCTGAAAGGCTCCAACCATTTAAAGACCACGGAGGAATGTAAACCAGAATGCCAGTTCCCCCTACAACTGAAGGAAAAGTCATTCCTTCCATTCTTTCTAACAACATCAAACCTGAAATATTTCACTGATCCCCACGTATGCCTACCATTTGCACAAGACACTAGTCACCATTTTCCCTAAGTTGACCAAAGAAGAGGTTCTTTAAAGGAGGTACAGGAGGCAGAGATGTAGCTGTGGACAAATCCAAGGGTCTAACAGGGAAGAGGACTTTGCCTGGTCGATTTGGACCACCCAGGACAGACCTTGGCAGTGCCTCGAGTGCGAATTTTCCACTGCAGAACATCATCTGCTATTTAGGGAAGCGTTTGCTGTGGCTCAGCGTTAAGCAGGCAGCATCAGCAAAGGACGCTGAGAATTTACGTCCAGCCATGTCTCATTTAGAGAACTACACTGCTTAATTCAGAAGCAAAAATATCTCCAGAGGCTCAAAAGAAGAAACCTGTAAAACTGAATCAGTAGAATAACAAAGCGTATTCCCTGGACAAACATTTCATAAACACCACTTGGCCTATAGATAAAAGGATCCATCAGTAAATGCTTTTGTCAATACCGTGGATTTGTTGTATTTCCACATCTCAGGCGTGCAGACAGAGCACACAACAGCAGGAAAACATTAAAACCACGCGCCCAGACTTACAAAGCCCCTTCTATGTATATACGCATAAAACCCCAGAATGGTCAAGCCATCTGGGAGAACCAAGGTCACGCAGAAACCTTGAACAAAATTAGTAGAGCTGTACAATTGGAGACGTTTTATGAGGTCTTCACAAAGGCAGTACTTAAAATGAACAAAACAGCTCTCCTTGAAAGCCAGCCTTTCCTAATGCACCGTAGCACGCAGTTAGGTCTCTTCCCCATCAAACCTGTTCTCAAGAGCAGTGTCTTGCACCAACACTGCTGATCCTTCCAGAGGATGAAACAGTCCCACTACTCCAACTCTCTCCTGACCAATGCTACTGGAATACAATCAGCTTAATTATTGGTGGCTGCCTTAGTGGTGTGGCTGGTAAGAGTCGTGCCACTAACAGCCCTTCACTATCTGGGGACAAAAAGCAGTCTGGCTATGCTACCTAGCACCTGCTACAGGGCTAACAGCTACATTTTTCTACTACTCATCCTATCTATGCCTTCTGTCACACACACAAAAAGATGAAGCCGAAATTTGGCCTCACAGTGCATTCAGAAGGTGAGAAAGATCCGAAAAGCAGCGGAAGATGTCACCATCTCTAAGTCTGACTTGAGTAAATGAAGTTGCCCATCTGGCTACGTACACTTCTGTAATCGAATCCTTTTGGGTGATACAAAAGAGAGGGGAACACACGATTACCCTGAGTTGTTGTAACGGAGGCAGCTCCAGCCTGGGCAGGTAGCAAACTGCTCCTGCCCACGGTGCCCTCAGCAGCAGGCAGAACAAATCCAGCCTCTATTATCTGCAGTGCAGCCCACTGGCAGAGAAGCCTCAGCCCGTGCCCTTAAAAAAAACCACCCCGAACCACAAACTTGCCCATAGAGTGGCTCCTCATGCAGCAGGAGGTTAAAAATACAGCTTCTGAAAAGCCAGACCTCAGGACATCAAGGCTCAGCTTGGCACAAGCCACCAGGTCAGCCACGGAGACGGAGGGAAGCCACTGCCCAGGCTGCGTATCCCCGCCCAGTTTGAGGAACATCAGCCTTTGGTTTGAGACTTCAGAGGGAAGGTGGAAGCATTAACACAACCAGCTAGTATCGTCCCAGTCCTGTTGTAGGCTGTTTGGAAGTCAGTCCTGCACACTAATTGCTCTCATCAGCTGCTCTCCCCCTCCTCTGCCCATCTGCCCCTTCAATCACAGCCATGGTGGGACCCATTCACCTAAACACATACAAGGAATAAAACATCCAACAAAGGAAGAGTTACAGCTTTCCTCTCATCCCCCTCTTCCATCATTATTGCCACTGAAGGGCCATTTTATCACTTGCAGCTGTGGTCATTCAGCGACAACCTGCTGTGCTCAGAGGCAGATGAGACCTGCACATTTGATCTGCATTAAGCCCATTTCATGGCTTCACATTTCTAGGTACATTCCTAACAACAGCACCAACAACCACATCTTTTCATCCCTCCCACTACTCGGTAGTTCCTCTGAAATCTGGCATTTATCTTTCACACCAGGCTTTTTTTTTGGCCAGCATCAGTTAGCAATCTGCACCCCAAATCCATCAGCCCCAAAACAAGGGCCAGCACTTCTCCAGCTCCTCGTGGACAACAGTAAAATTCCCATCTTTACACCAGCAATGTTTATTAGCAGAGCTGCTTTCCATTCCCTTCAGACACGAGGTGCAAATTAACCAGCTCTTCACACATACTAGCTAAGAAACACAGCCCTTTGCTCTCAGGTGCAATGAGCCCTGAGCTGTAGCCATCTTCAGGGACTCTCTCAGGACAAGGCAGCTCTTCAGCCTGGTTTGGTTTAGGATGCTCATCTGGCACATAAAGCAAGGGGAGGAGAAATAAAAGCCCAAGTGGTGTCCTGTGATAACCTTGCTGTAGAAACTCCCAGATTTTTGATGATCCCAGATTAGGACGCAGTGGGGAAGTCCATCTGCTCACTAGAAAACCAAAGCCCTGGTGTAGATAGTGGTGGGGAGAGCAGGCATGGGAAAAGTGGACAGTACAGCTTCTGAAAAAACACGCCAAGTCAAAAGACTTCTTCTGCAGCAGCTCAGATGAACGACAGAAGAGAAGGTGTCTCCTATAGCTCAACATATACCATTCAGTTCCATCAACCTAAAGGAACTTGGCTCCCCAGAGTCCTCCTGCCTATTTCTTTTAGGGGTGCCAAAATATAAAGCAAGCCCACAACTGCCTCGTACCCTACAATCCAGCCAATTCCCTGGAGCAGGGCCAAACATTTCCAGCCCCTCTGGGAGAGGGCTGTCAGTTCACAGCATCTCTCCCCAACGGGTGCTGGGGCTCTTATATTTCATTTTCAGCCTTCCAGCGAGCAAGAAAACAAGGGAGTCTCCAGAAAACAAATACACTTGGAAATGCCCAGATGATTAAAAGCTAAACTCCTACAGCAACCAGCTGGTGACCAGCTCAGTCCCCTGCACCGGGAATGTGTCAATTATAAATAATTAAAAGGTAATAGGAAGGAGACACTGAAGTATTAAGCAGATTTCTCTCTAGGTATCTGGAGGTTTTCTGTTGCTGCCAATCACACCCTTCAGATTATTGTCTTGCCTGTCAGTCATCCCAGCCCTTACATGAACATGTGAGCTCAGGTTAACATCTCCAAGTAAACTAATTAAGGCTGGTTATGCCTCTGCACACGGAAGCCAAAAATACCAGCAAAACCCGGCTCTAATTTTTAACCGACTTGGAAGCGTAACCTCAAACTGCTGGAGAGGGAAAATTCACACAGGTCAGCTGTCAGCTCTCCCCATGCCAGGAAAAACGGACAGGGATATGAAGAGCAATTGCAATAGCTGCGTTTTAGATGGCCTTTCCTCTGCTTGTGACCTAGTCGCCCACAGAGGGGGATGCGTCTGCAGATGCTGGGTTCAAAAGACAACTAAAAATAAGACTCTAGCAGCAACCCAGCAAACAGATCATTTTCAGATAGATGCAACTGAGATGTTGCAGCTTTATGCTTTATTAGACTCTCAGGGGACAACATTGCTGGTGACACTGGTGACACTTCCAAACACGCACAACCTGGCTTGTTTGGTCCAGCACACTCGGAGCACGTTATGCCACGAGAGAGGAAAGGGTCCTTTTCACGTCTGCTCTTCACACCTACCTTCAGCAGTCTTTTTGGAAGCAATGAAAAGGTCTACAGCATAATTTCACACTTTTTGTCAGAAGCATCTTTGTTGGAAGAGTCTGGCCTGGCATGCTTGGAGGGGTAAAGGAAGAGAGCACCACAGAGGGTTCACCACAAACGTTCAGAGACTTATGTTTTATACAATACCACACATGTGCACATTTTTATTATGAATAGTTTGCAATGAGGGACCTGAACTTTGATAACTAGGGGACAGAAAGACTTTTGTGACATCTCAGCTGAGCTACTTCACACATGCATCACCACTCCTGTAGCAAGGAGACGTGCAAGTTGCTGACACCGCAGGGAAGAATGTGAGAAACTGTGCGCTTCTTACACAAAATTACTAAAAGGAAAGCTGACACGTTGCGAATCTACAGGAAAATGTGGCTTGGTGTCTATTTTCCCAGTCCTCAGATTGCTTGCCACTACTCTGTGCAGGCTGGGAACGCATTCACACTCAGCTCCCACATGCCATTGAAATCAAACACGAGAAGACGTGTGATCATGCCTCCTGAAGGGGAGGCTGGACAATCCCTGGTGGTAGTCAGCCTTGTTTCAAAAATTCTGGGCAATCCAGCCTTCTTGGGCTCTCCAGTGCATGGACAACTTGAGTATTAGGTAGGGGTGAGGGTAGAAAAGTAGTGTCTTTGAAATTAAGTTACAGGGCAGAAGAGTTTTTTCCTACTGTGCTACTTATCTCCCAAGACCAATATCTCAAGTCTTACCATTGCTCTTCCACCTGATTTGTGAGTTCAAGGGCTGGATTTGTGCAGGAGGGAAGAATTCAAACGGCAGCAGCACCTCTCTGCCCCATTTTACCCTGTCAAGTTCAAACCAATGCTCACTCACCCCTCTTCTGCATAAAGATGAAGAGGTCATCCAGGAACTCTTTCCGTTCGGGGTCACTATCCAGTTCATAGAGCTGGGGGAAAAGAATAAAAATGAAGGCACAATCCATAACAAGACAGAAAATAAAGTCATAATATTAGCTTCTTCCAGTGGGTGATCCAGTGTTTGTACTGGAGGGGTGAAAGGCGGCCACAGGCAAGGAGGCAATACAAAGAAGGATTTCTGAGCAATGCGGTGGGCAAGGCTGCAGTGATGGTTTGAGCAGCCTCATTACATTTTGCCTTGCTCAGCACCTCTAACTCATCTGGGCACAGCAGAGACTGGCACCCTGAAGGGACCAGGATCCAGCTCAGTTAACAGCACTGCTACAGAGCAGGGTTTGAAACCACCTGGAAGCAAAGGGGAGAGGAACTACTAAGCTGGAAAGACGAGACAACCAAGAGGAAGGTGACAGTGGTTCAGGGCAGATTAGTGATCCGTACCTTTGAGGCACCAGGGAGGGAAACTTCTGTGCAGCTTCTCCTAGCCTCACCATTCCCTCCTTCAGGGATTGTCACATAAGTGACAAACTCCATATCCCTTGAAGGAGGAGATGAAAGGGGATAGAGCTTTCCTCTAACTACTAATGCCTGGCAGGAAAGGCTCCTCTAAAATAAGCCAAAAAGCCTTCAAAACTATCAGAAACCAGCCCAGAACCAATTTGCTGCAGAAATCATTTTACCAAAAGGCTTAAAACCCCAAGTATTTAAAATAAAGTTCCAGAGGCAGCTTGTTTCAAAGGAGAGGCACTGCACACTAGCGTTATGCACTGGTTTTCCAGAAGGGCCAGGCGAAAGCGTCATCTTACAACGACCTCTTGAACAGAAAAATCTAATTTTCACCTGTCAGGAACCCTGTGAGGCCACAAAGTGACAGGTTGAAGGGGCTGAAGTCGGTCTCTCACTGAGATACGGGAGGATATAGAACAAGACAGAAGACAACACTTTACAAGAATAATTCAAGTCCTTCTCTCGCTTGCATTGAGGAAGAACCTTGCATCGAGGAAGAATCTTGCATCGAGGAAGAATCTTGCATCACTCCAGGGAATTTTTCGCTGCTTGTCGCTACTCTTGTGGAGCAGCTCAAGGGAAAAGCAAGGATTCACTGGGAAATATGTATTTCAGCTGCTCCGTAGATGCTGCTGGCTACTTGCTCCAAGAGAAGAGGGGCTTTTTGGGCTTGTTTCCTGTAGAGCTCTGTGCTGTCTCACACACTGAGCTCTGGGAAGAAAATGCACCAGCATTTTAGCAGAGCAATTAGCTGCACCCTTTCTGAAAGAGCCAGCTGAGTTTAAAATTAATTCCTCCAGCTGATGTGACACACAGCTGCCACATTCAAATCCACAGTCACAGTGCTAGTCAGGTTCAAGAAACAAAATACTCTTCTCCCAGCTGGAGAAAGTATTGACTAAGATTTTAAATGTCAAAAGTCTGGTTATTAAGTCTTAGTTCAAACTATATTCCAGTGACTAAAGGCAACAAAACGGCTCAAGAGAGCCCAACAAACCAGCAGGTTTGTAGGCAGAGGGCTGCAGGACAACGCAGTTTTCTTATAAATTCACTACAGGGGAATAGTGAGGGCTCCGTAGTCACCCTCTGCCACAGACCAGTGGAAGAATTCCCCAAAGTTACCCCTTCCTCAAAATCCCCTTGATCGACTGACCTTGGCAAAGTCTCGTGAAATTTCTCTTCCTCGGCATCCATCACCTTCATCACTCCAGGTCACGTTACCGTTCTAGGGAGAGAGAAACGAAAGGGTGAAAGGATCGCCCCAGAGAGGCTTTGCAGACAATTCCAGAAAGCTCACAAACGTGCATTTTCGGGGAGAAACACGTGCAAAAGCAGCTGCTGGCTTAGACCAAGAAGCCTAGAAAGATGGGGGACGTTGGTGCATTTGTCACAGTGCACCTTCCTGGAATCTCTGACACTCAGCCCAAAATGGGAAGTGGCATTTCACCTTCCAGGCCACTACTGAAGGTAAGGGAAGTTTTTCCAGCCCTGAGATGTTTTCTGCAGAAACATACCTCAAAAAACTTGTCTCAACACCAGGGCAAACCACTCTAGAGGAAAGCCCTCAACACCTTCAACAGCCGCCTTCCTTCATCTGCTAAAGAGAAGTACGCTAACCGCCCTGCAGCAGCTGCTTTGCTGTAATGAGGTCCAACACCTAAACAGAGGTGCTGCTTTTGCTCTCCATGTCCATCATTTTTACCAAATGCACATCCTAAAGCTCCTGGTGAAAGGGTGCAGGTGTAACATGGGTATCCTTCATTTCTGTTTGCCAGATGATACCTAAATGCTCTCCTCCACACTTGGAAACGCCCTTCTGGTCTCCCCTCACTTGCCTACAAAACCAAAATATGCCAAAGAAAGAGGGAAATAACCCTGCTGGAACACTTCTTGCCAACCCAGGACCCTTACTCCCAGGAGCTACTGGATGTGGATTTTCCCCACAGAAATGGAAAGCTCAGCTTTGCTGGATTAAGGTTCATTCTTCTTAGGCATTAGAAGGATTACTCTAGTTAGGTCCATTCTACTTGGTAAATCATCATCCTGAAGCGATCACCAGGGCTGGGGATCAGCCTCCCGCTGTATGGCAGAACTGAGACCAGGAGAATGATCCTGAAGTATCTTCAAGCATCTTTAACCCATAAACTCCATAAAGCTCCGGTACAGCGAGTGCTCCAGAGCCACTCAAGGAAAGAGAACAGCCAAACTCACCTGGCAAAGTAGGTGGGACTATCCTGTCCTGCTAAACACACGGCACACAGATAGAAAAGCACTGAAGATAGCAAGAGGTTTCAGCACAAAATAAAAAGCATGTGAATTAGAGAGGTGGTCCAATATCGGAAATCTTGGAGTCATCTGGTAGTGACACATACATTGAATTAGAAAGATGAATAGCTCTTGTCAAGGCCAGGAAAAGCCACATTCCCCCCTTTAAAAAACACCGCAGCGAGCTGCCCTAATGCCTGCTGATTTAGTTTGAGCCTTTTTTTTGGAAAGTCAATTATCCAGTGAGTCCCATCAACTGAAAGATATTTAATGGGGGATTATTGCCACTTCTGTTATGTCAGCTGTTTATTACAGCAGATCAATTCCCAGCCCTCTCTAGGAAGAGATCTGAAGACCGGTTTTGTTCACAGGAGGATTCATCTGGGTGTCCTTTGCTAGCAGAGATTAAAAACACAGGTTTTTTGCTAATTACAGTAACATCCAGCTGCTCCTAAAACCCCCTGATTGTTAACTCAGATCAACAAACCTATGTGAGCAGCCAGGATAAGAGACAGTCTCTTCGGAAGGCAGCAGCTATTTCCCATCCTCAACTTCACGTACTCCAAGGCAAAGCGATTCGTAAAGGGCTGAGAGATGCTTTCTCCCTGAGTTTGTACTAGATTATAAATCCAGAGGGCAAAATTCCTCGTGATGTTAACCTGGGTGCTCCAAGAAGCAAAATGTTTGCTTTTATAGGGACATTTGGTCATGCTGGGAGCTTATTCCGCTACGTTTGAGGACAGGGACAGGAAAGAGAAGACAGCTTAAAGGTGACAATTCTCTCCTGCCAGTGGGTTTGAACTTGGTAAGATTTCCAGGAACGAAACTTTCCATGGGATTAAAGCCTCTTTAGAAGTGATTTTACTTGTTTTCTTTCGAGGAAAAAGGGTAATTGGGAAAAATAAGATTAAGGTTTGATACAGAGAGAAAACAGAACGTATGCACCCCGCTTCCCGTCCCTACATCCCGAGATGCTCGAGAGCACAGAAGCAACGCTCCCCCCACACCTCGCCAGTGAAAAGGAGCTTAAAGCTACCTGAAACCAGCAGCCTTTTGCCATATGTCCAGAAAATTGGCAGAGCTGGCTATCACCTGGCATGACACGGAGCGATGCGAGGTGAGAGACAGCAGACAGCATTAGCGTTTCCTCCCAGGATAACTGGAAAGGTTTAAAGGCAGTTACCACTCCCCACGTTAGGCTATCAGAAGAGATAAGGAGAGTGCTCCTCCTCGTCCACGTCGGGGCAAGCAGCAGCCGCCGCCGTGGTGTAAATCAGCAAGGGTGCACTGAAACGACACTCGGGCTGTGGAGAGCCGAGGACAGAGCACAGGTTTGTTTTGGGTAGCGGAGTTGGCAAAGTCTCAGGCCAGCATGAAATGTCAGCTCAGCAGCCGGGGAATAAAGCCTTATTTATTCAGAGAACAGAGACAGGCACTTTCCCAGGCCTCAGCTTTGATCTTGAGGGGCTGTTCTGCTCACCAAAAACCTTTGGGTCCGTGCCAAGGCTACGACCGAAGACGCCAAACATTGGCAGCGGTTGGAGCAGCGACCTGGGCACAACTGGAACAGGTAAATCAGTTAAGAGTCCCACGAAGCTCCTGAAGCAAGAGGTGCTCTGTATGTAGAATAAACTACGTTTCACACAGCAGGAGAGCTCAGCAGGAGCTTTGGTATCAAGCTTCCTTTCTATTCCTCCTCGGAAAACAAAGTTACCCTCTGCTGAGAAGCCCTCCTCTGTATAATCAGCAGGAACCTGAGAAATCAATATATCCTCACAAGTCATTAAAAGACCTTTGTATAAGTCAGGCAATAGTAGCAGGAAGGAAAAAACACTGTTCAGAGAGGCAAAGTCGTTCTCTGGGGAGAGTCCTGCCTCTCCCTCCGCCCCTCCGTATCACGGGAATTTGCTGATGTTTGACAAACAGCCCTTGCCTTACCACCGGCAGGAATTTATCTGGTTTCTTGCAGAAAAGCAGCACTGGCTGCGCTTTACCCCCTGAAGCTGAGCCCGAGTGGCAAGGCAGAGGTGTCAGGGAAGGGCTGGCCACCTTCATGGGCTGCTGGAAGAGCCAGGGAAGCCTTCCCCAGGCTGCAGACACACCTCGGAGGCCATCGGAGCTCCCCCCGGATCACCCCCTCCTCCAGAGGCTGCAGGTCTGGCTTCAGAAGCAATTATATCTGGAGCTATTTTAGGATTACTCCCTAACCACCTGGAATATCTTATTAGAGGGAAGCTCAGATGTCCAGAGCAATTTTGGTTTCCAATCTCACATTCAAAAGCCAGCATTAACCCTGAGTTGCCAAGCAGACAGAAAAGGAGGTGACAAACACTTCCTTGCTTCATCCAGCCCATTCTTTTGAGGATAAAAACCTTAAAAACAAGCAGCCTCAAGCCCTCCCTGTGGGACACCTACCTCTCAGACATTACCATCTCCCATGTCCATCACTCCCAGAGACCAGAGAACTAATTGAAACACCACGCTCAATAAAAGTAGCGAAGGATGAAGGCAAACAGAACAGCAACTCATCGTCACCTTCTCCAGTTTTGCCAGTACAATTTGCAGTTAGTGTGCAAGCAGAGACATTAAGGAGAAATTGGAAATGCTCCTTTTCCAGCTCATTCCCTTCTCCCCCACTCCAGTTTTATACAGGTGTTTGAGAGAGGCTCAGCTAAAGCCCAAAAGTTGTATTCAAATGGCAAACTCTGAACTGGAGAGAATCCACAAAAACTTTGAGATATAAAAGAAAAGAGGAAAAAAAAACCTTCTGGCATGAAACTCAAACCCATCCTGCACCTCCCTCCTGCAGACCTGCAGTTTCTGCAGAGGTTTTTGGCCAGAAATCTGCTGAAATATCCACTTAGGGACGAGGTTAAATGTTGCAGTGAAAAAGAAAGCCCCTCCCCTACCCCATGGGTTAACTGGAAGCACTGAGTCAATGAAAAGGTACAGGGGCAGCAATTTCAGGATTATCAGAGAATCCACAGAAATTCCTTTTGTGGGCAGAGTTAAGCCTTAGGAAGTGAAACAGATGCTATTATAAAGAAAACTGTTGTACTACAAAACGCTGATAAGATCAGGACTACTGCCCTGAGCTGCAAGTTCTCAAGCATGGAGAACCAAGTTATAATTACTGCGTGCACGAGCTGCCTGGCAAAGCTCTGCTGAAATTGGAATAAACCCTTCCCAGTCTCACTAATAACAGAGCTCAATTCAACACCTACGAGCTTCAAAGATGGGTTTTGAAAAACATGCGAGTGATTTCAGGAACGACAGGGAGGATGGGGAAGGAAAGAAAAAGAATGGACTGAAGTTAACAGATTAATTACTGGGTTTTACCAAGTTTCTTTTACACGCTCCCATGACCCAGTGACTGCAGCACCAACACAATTCTTTGCAAAACAGGAATCTGCTTCCTTATCCTTAAGGAAAAGTTGGACTCTTTGTGAGCGACTCCTACTCACGAATACTCAGAGGAATTAACTAAAATGTAAGCGACCAGAAGATCTGTTCGGTGCTACCCGGCTGCGGGAAGAGAAATTCTCACTGCCACACGAGTCTCGGATTTACCCTGAAGTGAGAAAAACAGAAGTGCAAGAACCCAACACATTCGAGCTCTTTCAGCTCTCCAGCGTTAGCTGGAATTTCTATAAATTGCCACCGAAGGAGACAAGCTGCAACGATTCCTAAAGCCAAATTTAGCACCCGAACGAGTCCTAAAATGAGCTGTATCTGCCCCAGGATATAACTGAGCTCCTCGCTCTGCTCCTTTGCTCTGCCTCCAGATATAGAACAACCCCGATGAAGCCTACGGAGCTGCCCCTTGAGATGAAGATCTGGGAGAATTCTCAGATGTCTAACACGAGTTGTTCGTAGGCTCCTGCCCTACAGCCATTATCACAAACAGTTTCTTGGATCTCTTCTCCCATACTTTGTTATATCAAACAAAAAGGAGACTTTGTTACCACGATTCCGCTCTGCTCCAGCCATACTTTAAGCATTGACTCCAAGTTAGGGGCTGCTGCAGCAGCAGACTGTCACAGGGATCAAGACTTCCTCGAAACAAACCTAAACCATCAATTCAGGAGGAGCAGCAATTGGCAATTTAAAACTAAAATCCGTTCTTACGGAAAACAGCTTCCAGTGAAAGAGAAACCAAACATCTAACATCAGCTATTAATGAAGAATTCTCCTCCCACTACATCATAAAAAGAAAATTACCTGGTGACCTGCAGAAGGAATTAAAAATCCAGCCCTTGAAGATATGAAATAACTAGGAGGCAAAAAACACACTGTGTGAAACACAACTTTTTTATTCCTGGGACCTTCACCCTCTCTGGATTAATGAGTATCTCCTGAGCAATACCTCAATACGCACAACACTTGAGGCGCATACTTAAGGTTATGGAATCTCAGCCACTCATTCCTAGACCCTAGAGCAAAAAGCAAAGTAATTATTTTAAGCTGACTTATCTTAATAAACCCCATGACCTTTGTAAAAGCGTAGGTCAGGATTTTCAGGAGTGACTGGTGATTTCTGAGAACCCAACGTGAGGCATCCCCAAAAACCAGACTGCAAACCACTCTCTGAAAGTCAGACAGCTGCTCGCCGGGGACTTACCTTGCTGCATTTAGGAAGGCATTAGGTACCAGCTGATGCCTGAAAACCTCGGCTTTAGTTTTACATTCCGCCAAGGAATGCACGTACTAAGGCACGTGCTGCAGTAACAGCCTGACCAACCCGCTCACGCGAGCGCTGCACACCGGTTCCGTGCGGAAAAGGAGCCAGAAGCACCCACTGACCAGTGGCTGTGGTCCTGCCTTCCCTCCACGGCTCTCCCTGGTAACCGGAGACATCGCCCGGCAATGCGAGAGCCCGCGGGACCGGGACCCGCACCCAACCATCTGCTAAAAAACACCATTTTTCACCCACGGGATTAAAAGCTCGTTTTTCTTCAAAGACAGGCAAGCCCACAACGCCCTTTTCCAGGACGGCTGCGGGATCCTTCGGCTGTCGGAGCCCCGTGATGGATTTGCACGGGATTCAAGCAAGTCCGAGGAGCGAGCTGAGTACACACCACCCCCCCAGCTCTTCTTTCAGGACTGCGACTCCCCGACAAGCAACTCCACTCCCTTGTTGTTTTGTGCTGACAGGATTCCCACCGCCCCTGTGTCAGAAGCTGAGCCAGCTCTTTTGTCTGCCAGCTTGTTCTACAATTATTTACTCGGTTGTCCGGGACCGAGCAGAACGAGGCTTCATCTGGCTGGGAGTTTCCATCTTTCCGCCACCTTCACGCCACACACCTTCCAGGCAATCCCAGCCTTACACTTTCAAGACACATTTTTCTCCAAGGGCGTCACTTGCAGAAGAACAATCCACACTTGAAAGAAGAAATAGAAGTGACTTTTCCCCCTCCTCTTCCTCAAGCAACAGCCATTATGCATACCACAAACGCTCCCAGCGCAGAGCTAGCTGGAAGCAGGGTGTGTGACTGGTTATTAGCCTCCATCTCAACTGAAGCTAAAAAAAAATAAAAGACAAGCTCAGGAATCATTTTGAAAACAAACCAGAGGACGCAGGCACTTCTGCGTTTGATCCTGATTTTGCTGCCTAAAAACTATTTCACACAAAGGCAAAAGAAAAATCTCAGTAGCTTTAAACTGCGTGTTTGAAACGAAAAATTCAAGCCAGGCTCAACCATTTAGCATACAAAATTATGCAGACAGCCCACAGCTGCACACACATTTCCCCCCATTTGGTGTCCTGCCAGCTCACAGTTTTTGCCTGCCCCCCCCCCTCCCCAGTTGAGTCCCACCTCCACGCAGCCCCCTGCTCACCAGCTCCAAACTGGTATACTGCAGTTAAATTTTTACTCCCTGGTATGCAGACTCCACTGGTGAATGCAAACAAGTTGATCTGCAATATTTACCCTACTCAAGGTGAATATACTGCACCAGCATCGCTAATATCAGGCACTTAACACGGCCTTTTGGGCACCCCATAGCACCTTGATTACGTCGTTCACCAGTGGGATTACGAACAGGAGCCATGCCTCACTGGGGCACACCACCTAGCCCAGCGCTCCGTCTTCAACGACACTACCAGGAGACAGTATTTCGGGACAACCCGTGAACACACCCACCTTCTGCCACACTTTCCTACTATCTAGAAGTGTTGCACCACAGCACATCCCTGATACTCCTTTACGATCCATTCCTCAACTTGATGTCCATGAATTCCTCTAATTCCTTTCTTTACTGCTGTACTGTCTGCCTCCCCAGCAGTGAAAAGAATCACTTAAACACAGCAGCAAGAGAGTTTTTCCTCTAGTTTTGCCTCCTGGTGAAGCTTTGTGCGCTTCAGCTTCCAGAATAAGTTGGTCTGAAATCAGACTAAGCTGCAAATTACTACCAAAACACTTGATTACAGTTGAAAGGGGCCAAAATAACCGGATCAGTATTAGTGCACAGTACAAACCAGTATTTGTTGGCTTTTTTTTTTTTGCTATTCCACATCAGCTTAGACCAGATCCAGCATGCTTATGGTCATCTGTCTTCCCAGAGCAGGGCAAGTGACCTAGGAATCAAGCCTATTAATTAAGATTCACAGGACTCTCACAAGATAAGTAGTGGAAAGAAACACAATGACATACTTGTTAGCACTGGCCGAGCCAGAAATAAAAACAAAGACTAATGCTAAGTTTATTGGTGGTTTGTGTTTTTTTGTTTTTTTTTTTCAGAAAGTGATCCCCCTAACAGAGTCCTGCCCCCTGTTCTCCACCCCAAGAGCTGAAAGAGGAAGTTTCCACCAGTCACTCCAGTAAATTCTGAAGCAATACCTCTAGCGACCGTCCCCTGACCCACGTACCCACCTCATTTCCCTACCACAGCTTGAGCAACACTTTTCTGTTTCACTCCAACCCCTCTTGAGAACCAAGCACAGAGAAAACACGGCAGCAACTGGTTGCCTGCTGCATCCCGTGCACGAGGGCTGCTTCACCAGTGTGCTTTATAGCACCGAGAGCCACAAAGGCCATTCACCCGGCCACTTAGAGGAGTTCCTGCCACACACATTGGTGTAGAAACACCAAACCGGCACAGTTTTGCAGAGGCAGCTGGGCAGGAGCCTGCAGGCCACGCTAAATGGAATGGGAGAAGAAATAAAGCTTGCTGAACTTTAGAAGTCCCTCCTCAAACTGCTGCCCGTGGCAGCATAAGAGAAATTATCTTGTGCGTGCGACCAACAGCTTCGGGAAGGGACTGCCCCGAGTGCTCCCAGCAAACTTTCAAGCACCTATGGGTCACCAGCCACCACGAAGCAGCTCCGGCTTTTTTACTTCCTAGGGTTTGCAGGAGGGAATTAAAAAAAAAAAACCACAACATAGCTCTGTTTTTGTCCATACAAGGTTTCTTAGCTCAAAGGTTCTATCTGAAGCAAAACCTGGCGCTCTTCACACTCAGGCTAATGTCTGTAGAAAAGGACAATTAGGTCCAACTCTCTTTCTCTATGTAAACTGTGTGGTCCTTTGGCTCAGTTTCAATACACATAAATGCTATAAATGTCCCTGAAAGTCTGTTCAAGTTAGCTCTGTAACAAAACAGCACACGGGTGCTACGTGAGCCGAAATACCCGCTCACGACACAGAAAATTCTTGATCCTGTGTCATTTATCTACCAGGAGCAGTAATTCTTCATTCAAACGTAGAATTAACCTCCTACTAAAACCAGTAAAGCAATAGCAAGCCAGCTCCCTCTTTCCCACACATGAAATATCAAGTGGCACTTACTCACAGGATACTCTTCCCTGCCTGCCCACACCACCAACCAGAAATCCAGGCAAAGTCGCTGCATCCCAGAGCTCTTACACAAAGGGGTTATAGATGTCGTACGCGAAATAACGCGAGAGAGGCATTAGCAGGCAAGTGTCTGCACCAAAAATAAATATAACACCAGCCTGTTCCATTCTGAACGGCGCTGCGGCAGCGAGATAGAAGATAAACAAGCCAAAGATCAAACCTCCACCTCGCCACAAAGGCTCTCAGAGACTGGGGTTTCCACAGGATTAGCTGGAAATCTGTATCTGTAAAGCAAACCAAGCTCTTGTGACATCTCTTTATACAGAGTAAACCTGGAAGAGCACATCAGGGGAGCACCGCTGCACACATGTCCCATTCCATCCCTTTTTCCAAAGCACTTGTGAACGGCCAGTGCTCGTAACAGGACACTGGGCTAAAGAAACCCTCACTCTGACTGAAGATGGTCCCTCTCGTTCAGAAGGAAGTCATGTTAACACTGACCTGTTTGAGCTGCTCGTCCAAGCGCCAGTTCTGGCGTCCAGACGGGGAACCGGAATACGGTGGCTTAGTAGTGTCTTTACCCTGTTCTTCTTTGCCCTGCTGGCCCCGCTGGTGCCCTGAAGCCGGAAGAGGATTAGAGGTAGAGGCCACTCTTTGGTTGTGATGGGCAACTTTGGGAGCATGGAAATACTTCAGAGCAGAGCAGGTTTCTTTCCCAGTCACATCAGCGCCATCCTCAAGATCGCCACCTTCCAAACCCCCTTCCTCCTCCTCTTCCTCCTCCTCATCGTCTTCCTCCTCCTCTTCCTCCTCCTCTTCATCTTCTGGCTCTGAATTCATGCTGCTCTGATCAAAAGCCCGCGTAGCTCCGGCTGCAGGTGGGCCTCTGGCCAAGGGACCAACGGCGGAGCCGCCTGAAGCCCTGCCAGATGTGGCTGCTAGGACGGCCTGCTGCACGGCCAGCTGCTGAGTGTAGAGCAGCTGCGCTTCTCTCATCTGCCTCTGCTGTCTCTCCCTGGAATCCATCTGCAGAGGCGTTTGCTGCTTCTGCTGCTGCTTCTGCAGCTGCTCGACCACAGCTTCCAGCTTCATCCCGCAGTTTGCATGGCTGGGAAAAGAGGGAGGCGGTTTCGACTTTATCTGGCAGGGTTCAAGCCCCGACCTTGGGAGATTGGCAGAATCTGAAAGATAGACAAATATTTGTCCGTATGAATATAAAATGCTTTCATCTTTTCCCCAGGAAGAGGATAAATAGAGTGCAAAGCCAATACTCTTTCCTGTGCAGGAGACCGTGAAACAATCAGCTTCATGTTTAACAGCCTCAGGCTCAAACTTGCATTCAATTTTCAGACTGTTTAATTGTATTTTCAAGCTGAACACATTTGCTATAACCTCAGTTTCATATACCCCAAAGACACCATCTGAAATGCCTTTGTCCACTGTCCCAGCAGTTCATTTTTTTGGTCAGAAGGCTTCCACGCTTCCCAAATGATTACTTTTGAAACGTTGGGTTTAACATCTAGTGTTCCGTGCTTCTGAAAACACTGCCTTAAAAGGAGACAGCCAGGGTGATCAGCTTGACCACATTTCTATTAAAAAAACAGGCAGGAATTTATCACATATCAGTTATCTCTACATTCTTCTACGCTTTCATTACGTTTCCAAATTCTTTACACATCATACATCTTTCTTAAAAAAAACCAACTATATTTAGCCATTATTTTGCCCAAGGAGATGGAGACAAGGGTGGCAAAGACTACTGCAGCCTGAACCAGACCGCTGAGCACCGAGCAGCTCCTGCCTCCCGTTCCCAGGAACCCAGGAGCTTTCCTAGCTCTCCATTTTGACCCGCAGCAAGCCCACACTGAGCCAGCTCCAGCCTCCTCTGGAGCAGGGACCAAGAGAAGAGACCGCAGTCAGAAACACGGCTCTGATCCACAGTAAATCCTAGAAAGGCAACTACGCCTTTAATCCCCAACCATCAAAACCAGCACCTGTATTTTGGACCGTGTGTCACAAACTGGACCTGCTGGCAAAGACTGCCCTTCTCGGTTGTGTTTTTATGTAAAAAGATGCTTAAACGGATCCCACTCGCCGCCCTTTAAGGTTCACTGATATCAAAATACAGTCAGCTTGGAGAAACAAAGGAAAGGCCAACTACAAACAAGCTACGGAGTCTCCTGGTCACCTCCCACCACCCTGTTTACAACCAGCACTGCGCTATTCGAGCCACACACTTCAAAAAAGACACTTTTTCGCTACCACGCGTTTTCCAAACAGACACGGTTCTGCCCTAAAACACCAAATAACCTACCAGACAGCAGCTTTAAAAGCGAAAGACAACTTCCAGCATCCCTAGTGCCACTCCGAGTCTTCCTCTAAGGCAGTCAGGCCACCTTTCTCCGTACGAAGCGCCCACGAACTACGACGCCCGACTCATTTTTCCTCCGCAAACTCTTCCCTGTGCTAAACACCAACCCAGCACCAAAAGGAAAAGCCTGGCCCGTGGTGCGTTTGGCTTGCAAATGTAAGGATATAAAGTGGATTAGCGGTCTGGATGTCGGGAGCAATAAGGCGTTACCTGCCAGCTGAACAGAGTCTCAGGCTCCTTGGGAAGGCACAAGCCGCCACCTGGCCCAGCTCCACGCACACATTCCAGCCCAGGAAAGCGACAATGAAGCGGTGCGGGTGTTGCAACAGCAGCCACGAAGCAGGCTGGAGAACCTCCAGCCCACACCTTGCTGGATATTGTTGCACCTGAGGCCCGGTGAGGTGTCACCTCTCCTGCCCGGGGGGACACCCAGCAGGGCGTGCGCTTCACACACGCCTCGGGTACCGGAATGATAATAAATGACCCGATACTCGGCGAGCAAACACACCTCGGGAGCAGCAACACCCTGGAATGCGGCGCCGGCGTGTTTCCTGGAGCTCAGGTACAACGCCTGTGACGGGTCGCAGCAGCATTTCTGCGCGCAGCCGCCGAGGGTTTGGAAAAAAACTCCGAAAAGATGGATTTTTGGCCACAGCAGGCACCCCCTCAGCAGGTCTGGGTGTCACCGCGGAGTTGGAAGTCAACAGGGAGATGCATTGCTGACCGCAAAGAGTGAAGTCCCAATATCACGACAGAGTTTGGGAGAACAGAGGCTACAGACTTACACCACCCCCAGCTTTAACACCCGTTTTACCCCTCAGCACGGATGTTCCCTCATTTTTTGTGTCTCTCCCAACCAAGGCTTGAACCTTCGGGTCCTCCCGAGCCAGCCGTCGTGCGGCTTTTAACCCCCGGGCGTGCGGGTTAATTAAAAAGCCCCTTGATTTGAATTCCGAACCAGTTCGATTCGCGGCGTAACTGGGGAAAACACCCGCCTTCGCGCCAAGGGCGCTTGGGAAAAGTTTTTTTTCGTTTTGTTTTTTTTTTTTTTTTCCCCCAAGGGGAAGTCACCTGAAAGGGTTAAA